GTCCTGGCCATGGCAGCTGCCTTCAAGAAGTGTCAGTTATTGGACTGTGCAGAAATGGATAGACTGACTTTATCATTGAAGGAGAAAGAAGATACTGATTTCTATCAAACTTGGGACCCTTTTTATTATTGGCTAGAGAAACGGGACTTCGTATAGATTATGTTTTTATGTTATCATAAATGGAAAAAAAATGTGGGGGCTGACCCAGCAGGCTCGATGTTTTTGATGATCGATGTTGTTTTTAGTTTTTCTTTGTTTTTAGGACTAAAAATGTTGAATAAAACTTATTATAAAAAAAGTGTCGGTTATTCTGGAAATCATACAAATGATGGCTGGACCACAGCGAACTTGTGGGAGAGGAGACAGGGGCTTCCGTCAAGGAGGAAACTCCAATCCCAAGCACAAGGTGCAGGACAGAGGCTCCAAAGTAAGCTTTGGCCCCCATGAGTGGTAGAGTTTGCACACAAAGGGTAATTCACTCCAGTTGCTCCTAAGTTCTTGCCTGCGGGGGCATTCCTGGTCAGCTTTGCCTGAGCAGAGGGGCTGCACCAGACTAAACTTCCTTGCAAAAGATCAGCTCTCCCGCAGGATGCTTTTTGTTCCTCCATATCTGTGCCCCCCCCCCCCCAGCAAATACCTCTTCCAGCAGGAGAGGGCTTCTATTGGGACCTTCTCTTCCTCCAGCGTGGTCCCATTCCTGAATCTTCAGGGGCTGGGGGATGCTTGACAAAGAAAAACAGGCAAGTGGGATGCATTTACACCTTTAACTGTCTGGGGGTTCGGCTTAGGACGAGGGGTTTCGAAAGCCATTCAGGAATTCAGCTTTAGGCTAAGAACTAGGACACAGTGTCTATCTTCAGCTGTTTCCTTTACAGACTGTCTGATTTATCTGCTCAACGCTGGAAATCAGGATTATGTTTTGCTTGCTTAAGAAAGAAGAAACGACGGCCCATTTCACAATAGAACTGCAGGAAGTCTTGAGACCTGTGTTTCCCATGCCAATTGCAGCACTGACAATGCATAAAAGCCCAAACATTTCAAAAAAGGCTAGATGAATGTGTCAGTTGCCATTTCTCATTTTTCCAGGCTTACATTTGATTCATTCTGAATGTTGAAAAAGCATAAAAATACATGTGCATTTTTTGTGCACCTTTCCCCCTAACACAGTTTTGTCTAATGGGCATCTTTTTGCAAGTAGTTTTGCTGGCAGAGTGCAAGTTTGTGATATTTTCACAGACACACACACACACACACACACACACTGCATAGCTGTGCTCACTTCCCCAACTTACGCATTTTTGTGTTCGTGTTTTGATCGGAGAACTTTGCAAGTGCTCATTTTGGCCAGTAACTGCATTTCAGTTTGCAGATTGGTCTGGAAATGCAAAGTCAGAAAATTGGACCATGCACATTTCCCTTTTGCAAGGCTCCATCATCCCTTCTGCGAAGGATGTCTCAATCACCTGTAGGGTGGTGATCCAAAGGACTCCAAAATGGGAACGTACAAGCATGTAGCAAAGTAGTCCATTGCTTTCGGAAAGAATAAGAATAGCATCCAATGAAAACAGCCAGTAGAATTTAGGTCAGTTGAATGTGATTACCCAAGTTGGAGTGTGGCCAGGATACCTGTGCTATTACTTCCAAGTAAATAGCCGTGAGCCTCATAGCATGAGAAGCTGAGCAGCCTGGGAGAGACCTTGAACAGCCTGAGGGAAACTTTGAATCCCTAAAGTAGCTTTCCACATTTCTGATAACTGGTTCACAATTGTGGAAAATATCACACGTGGTCAAGCGGATGATGCATGTGGCAGAGATAAACCCTCAAGCCTTTGGCTTGTTGTGCAGCTTTAAAACACCCAAATTAGTCCCTTCACCCTAAACAGAGAAAGGGACGTGGATTCGAGTATGACTGCCATTATGAAGCCTTCTCTGACCAAGGTGTCTCCAGATGTTTGAACTACAACTTCCACAATCCCCAGCCTACATGGGCATCAGGCATTGTGGCATGGAAAAGAGGGGTCCCGAGGAAGGGCTTGAAGACAAAGAGACGGTGGCATCTCCTGGACTTTGCTGAAGGGGGAACAAGGGACAAAGAAGTCGCCATAAAGAGAACAGAAGGCTGAGAGGAACCGATCGCCGAAATGGAAGAAGAACAAGCCGCGGTGTGTTGAAAAATAACACGGGCGCTGAACCTTTCTGTGGGCCAAAACCAGCCGGCCTGGTCTCCTAACCCAGCTCTCTAGGGCTCCCCAGAGGTGTGTCCCCTGCCCCGCAACATTCCCCACTGGTCATGTAGTGGTTTGCTGACTTCTGTGCCTATTCTATAAGGAGAAAAGCTCTCTCCGTTGCTGCAGGTACGATATGCAGGTATTTCTGAACCTGCATCTTTGGCCCGCATTCACACTCCTGGTCTTGTCCCCCACTGGGATGCAGCTTCCCGTTAGGAACGGCTTTGAAAACGGCCTTGCGCTCATCCCCTCTCTGCACCCCAAAGCTTGGATCTGGGCAGCAGAGAAAAGCTTGCCACCTGAGCTGTCTGTGCGGAAATATCCGCTGCCCTTCCACCAGCCTCTTTGCTTTTAATAACACGGAGAGATGAGGACACAAAACCTTTACAGCGCAGCGGATTTATAGCTCAGGCGAAAAACTCTGCCATTCAAGAAGAAGGTCACACGGCAGATCCGTTCCTTAAATCATTCCGTAATCGCACTTGAATTAATTCTGTTGCCCTGCTCGGAGGACGAGTCTTCTGTGTCAGGCTTCCGCGAGAGAACGAGAAGCCGAGGCCGGAGACCGTGCTGAGCAGCCTTCCACAACTTCCAAGAACCTTGGGCTATAGCACCCATCATCCCCAACTGCCCTGCCTGAGCATGATGGGTGCTGCACTCCAAGACCTCTGGAGGATGCTGAGTGGGGGAATTCTGATTCGGAGCACACCAGAGCTCAAAAGGGAAAACCAACCGATTGCAGGACAGGTTCCAGAGTGTGGCACATTTCGACACATCACAGTTTGCAATAAAGCCGTTTCCAGACTTCTTGGTTTTTTGGGGGGGGAGGGGCAAAGGAAATAGCTTTACTGCACACAGCTGCAGGTCACCATGTGGTGTGATAGCGTATTATTTCTAACCAGGATTGTTTGTTGAGTAGCCAAACAAAAACATGTAATAAGATGCCCAAGAGAGGTGTCAGGAAAGACCCCCAGTGCTGCTCAAAAGCCCCACTTGCTTGCAAAGGCTCCAAACTCCCTTCTGAGCCAGAGCACCCGCCCCCCCCTTGTGCTGCCCCCTACCCTTTTGAGATTCGCCCCATTCCAGCACTCCCGGGGCTGTCTTTCCCGACCCTCCCTCCCTTTTGCTCTGCCAAGCAGGCCATCAATTTTCCCGGTATGGTGCAGACACAGAGAGGGTGTGTGCAGATTGCCAATCCCCATCCTCCCTCAGGAGCGACAGTTTAAAATTCTGAATGGTGGTTTTGATGTCGTATTAAATTCTTAATGGAGTTTTCACGGGGCTTTTGCGGCTTTTTATGCCTCTGCGTTTCACTCTTCTTATTTGTTTTGTTGCAGACCTCCTGTGTGACAGCCACAGAAAGACAGGACTTGGGGGGCATCTCAAAGGGGTCCCCCTCCTTGCCATAGCTGAGAAGGGGGGAAAGACCCCTGGGGTGCCCACCGGAGGACCAAGGGAGGAGACAGCAGGCATCTGCGACGTGCGCACTTTTGGGCAAATGATGGTGTTGCAGGCGACTGCCCCACACCATGGGGGTCATGCCACAGAGTGGGCTAGTTAACACGCTCTCTGGCCCCACCCAGACAGAGACCTACTTCTCAAGATCGCCATAGCTTAGCCATGGTTTATTAACCACCATGCACTGTGGTGCCAAGTTGTCAATGCAAGGGTGAACCCAACAAGGGTGGACTGCAAGGGCTTGCAACCCACCTTGCTGGGTCCAGACAGAACAAGGTGCTACTGGGGGCAGGAGGAAAATGCCCCCCTTTTCCCATGTCTTCTCTGCAACCCAGACTCTGAAGAAGAAAAACATAGTTGCCAGCATTTATGGATTCTCCCGGACAGCGAGATGGTCATAGTCCGTGGTTTCACTTCCGAATTTAGCACCACCTACTTTGTGCTCTCAGCTGCAAAGCTCAGGAGATCATTCCAAAATGAGGGGCCCCAAACATCAGCTAAAGCCAAGGATCACTCTGAATCCACCCGCGTTTCTCTGTGGATTGTTGCAAACCTCAGGCAATCGTCGTTCAAAGTTAGGTGTCACGCAGAGAGGCGGCAAAGACCACCCAGGGCATGCACCCTACACCGGCGAGCGTTAAGAGCTAATATCAGGATAATTACCATGGAATCGCCACCTGCTCACTTGGAACCTTATGTACGCCCAGTGCTTCGAGGAGGAAAGATTAGCAACATCTCTGTAGGGGTTCCAGCAGACTGCCCTGCTTGTTCCCAGCCCTTAATCCAGCTTAACGCACTCCCGGCCGATTCTAGTGCTCTGGAGGGCACTGGAAACAGCCTTTCCCTGCAAACTGAAGGAGGTGCAGAATTAGGAACCCTAAAAACCAAAGGAGGAGCTTCCCTTCAACTGTTCCCATCTCTCTCTCCTCTCTAGTGTTATCCTCGAATCCCCTCTTTTGGTCTCTCCAAGCTATCAGCATTTAGACTGTGATTCGATTCCAGATTCTGAATCTCTTCTTTTTCTCTTTCTTTACAAGTGCCACAGTGGACTTAACCAAGCTTCTTTGGTCAGAAGTTACCGAAATGGGTTCACAGTTGTAATCAGATTTGCCATTTGCCTCAGATATGAGCAATATGTACAGGGGCCCAGCTTCTCACCCGAGATCCATTCACTCCTTCGCAAGCCCCATGGAGAAACAGGGGCGATGCTTCCTGGAGGCAGCACACCACAGGCGCGTAACCACCGCTAGCATGTATTTGTCTGAGAGGCCTCAGCCGCGATCGTCTTATACATGACAATATCCAAAACACAGATGCAGAGGTTAATTTTTTAAAAGCCGACCATTGTACAAATAGAACGAGCAAATGAGGAGATGCTCCGCTTTCCAGTATCTCCCCTGTTGACTGCTGTTAAAGCATTTAAAAAATCAAATAAAAAGAAAAGCACTTTTTTAAAAGGCAGGAGGGAGGGAGGAGGGGAAACCTCTATAACACAGAGCCAAGCAATTCTGTTAAGGCAAAGTACAGTCATACTTATTCCCTTAAAAGCGGAAATGAAGTTTATGTTTCCTCGTGACTACAATTTGCTATTGCGGATGCTCCTGGGAAAGTTGTGGTCCAACGCACCTGGGGAGCACCAGGCTGGGGCGGATGGTCCTAACAATACCGGACATGGCGACCCTCATTCTGTTCCGGAGAAGCTCCCGACAGCTGCATTCTGTGGTGGGCGGGGCCAAAGGCAAAGGGGCGGGGCCAAAAGGCCAGCCTAAGTTGTCTTGAGCCCCGGCTGCTAGGAAGAAGCTTTTTAGCACGGAGGAAGAGCTGCACAAGCCCAGGAAAGCGGGTGGGGGGCCAGGGGAAGGCAGCACAGCTCTCTGGAGGCCTCCCAGTCCTCAGGCGGTGCTCACCGCCTCTGCGCGATCTGATGGAGATTTACATCCAGCGGGGCTTGCTGGCAAAGGGCAGGCAGAAGGTTCCTTCCCGTGGCTGCGATCCTATGCACATTCAGAGCAATTGAGCAACTTCCTATTACTCACGGGAAGTTGCTTTGGAGCAGCGAGCGTCTTAGCATCTTGCTCTAAGACTGGGCGTGGACATCTGCTTGGCTGCTGCTGAATCCCCACTGGGTTCAGTGAACCATAGCACTAGGTAAAGGTACCCAGGCTTGGGTGGGGACCCACGAGGCTGGGCACCCGATTTTGGAAGCCCTCCTCCACCTCTTTCCTTGCAAGAGGATTCCTTTACTTCCCAGGGGATGCAGTGTCGAGGAGCCACTGGGGAAATTCTGTTGATGGTGAAGAGATTTACTTCCGAGGAAAGACTGGGTGGATCTAACTCACTCTGGTGTGCATGACCCCTGGGAGCACCTCTGAAAGGCCGTTGGAGCAAGTGGAAGTGCGAATTCATTAGAAATGATAATAAAAAACGCATTTTATCTCTAAGCCAGAGCACCTGGCTGTGCCAGCCAACCACAGATCTGCCAGGAGAAAGATCGAAACGGCAACAGAAAACGGCAACACACTGTACACTGAATGCACCGCCTCATTGTCCCCACGCTAGGGAGGAAGTACCCAAGTCACATTTGTTAAAAGAGAAAGACAACAATCTAGAAAAGGGAAAGCAAAGGAAAAAGAAGTCGGGGAAGAGATCAGAGAGGAAGGAGAAGTTTCATTAGGTGAAATGAGAAACCCAAGTCCGCTTGGAGAGACAGGAGGGACTTCGAAGGCGCACAACGCAAGGCAGCACCGTCCTCTCGTTCTCCTCCGCACACCTCCCAGTTTGGCTTTCGAAGATCAGTTGTGCTTTCCCCCTCCCTCCCTTCTGATCCAGGCAGGAGGCACTGCGCGTCTCGTGTTCACTCTGCCTGCGCGTCGTAATTTGCGCCCCCGGCTTTCTTCAGCTCGCCCTTGATGTAGTCTTCGTCCAGTTCCTTGTGGTCGCTGATCACAAACTCTTTGGCAAAATTCTGTGGGAGGCAAAGAATGCAACACACGTTTGCTTAGCTGAGGGAGGGCGTTGCTGCCGTGATTTCAAGCAGGAGGAATTTGGGCTGGGAAGCGTTACTGCCTGCACATTTTATGGGCCAAAAGCAGTGGGGTGGGAATGATCCACAGTCCCTCCAGAGGTGCCTCTGTTGGCCTCTCTTTGCAGTTCTTCACAGCCGCCCAGTTCCTGCTTTCCACGGCTGTGCTGGCCTTTTTCTCTTCTCCCTCACTGCATGTTCCTAGCCAGTCCTGGACCACATCATGAGAAAAATGGCTACAGGAGGTGTGGAGAATGGGGAATGGTCAGAAAAGGTGCTTTCCTTGTAGGTCAGCACACACACGATCCTGGTATTCCACTATTTCTTCTATTTTAAGCCCTCTCTCTACACTCCGGGGTCACCTGGGTTCTGAAGAACTGGAGATTGAAGGGTGGGGGGAGGAGCCTATTGCCCAGCATGCAATTCACTGATGCATTTTGCTCCCCTCAAAAATGTGGAGGCAGGTAGCTTGGACAGCGTCCAAGTGGCCTTACAGGAATTGATGGAGGAGGGTTGGTCCCTTGGTGGCTAATAGCCAGGATGGATAAATGGAACCTCCAGGTCCAGAGGCAGTGTACCTGTGGGAGACCCCAAACAACAGAACTCTTGCCTTCAAGGCTTGTCTGTGAGTTTCCCAGGGATATCTGGTTGACCTCTGTGGGAAGCAGGATTGCTGGACCTGTGGTTTGATCCAGAAAGGCTTCTCTCTGGGGAATCAGGAACCATCGGAGCTGGGGATGGTAGGCGGAATACTTATAGCTCCAGTATGAGTCCTCTTGGCCACTAACAGACATTGCTCACATATTCTGAGTAGCACTGCAAGCCTTCAGTCTCATTAAAGCATGCAAGGAAAAAGCCATTCTATCTGTTTCATGATGAAACAAGTTTCTAGTTCCTTTTACATTCCAGGCACAAGGGACATATTTCAAAGACAAGAGACTCTCAGCTCGCTTCCCCGGCCCCCATCTCGCAACCCTCCCAGCCTGACCTTGGCTGTGCCCCCGGGAATGAATCACCGCCTTTGTGTTCATCCTGGAGCGTACAAGCACCCCAAACAAGCGTGGGCATTTATTTTGGTCCAAGAAGCCACGATGGCACAATAACCTGAACTGCTTTGCAGAAGAGCAGGCAAATTTTTGCTCTGTGCCCTCTGGGAAGCCACACCGGCATCACAGCCCTTGCAGCTTTCGGCATATGGCACAGAAGCATGAGATCCCGGCCTAATTCCTGGATGGGCATTTTGAGAGCCGAGGGTTCTAGGAACGGTGTGGGTTCGATCTAGTCAGAGCAGGTGCCCGGCCTCCGAGATGCCTGTGGGCAGCAGTTAGATCCCAGGGAGTCAGGAGCTATGTGCATGAATGAAGGAGTGGGCTGCAGGTTGTGTGGGAAGTGGCTGCATAGGCAACACACACCACACACCCACACACACACACACATACTGGCAGTTGCCCAGGGTGGCCCTGGGCCATATCCAGCCATCCAGCAGCCTTCCTTTACCGCTTTCTCCCACAAGCCTTTCCTACTGCTTCATGTGGAACGGCCTTCGACGAGGCCATCTTGCCCAGACTTGAAGTGGCCTTGAGAAAGAGACTGGAAGCACGGGAAACTTGTCTTTCCACTTCTGCGCGAACTAAGCTTGACTTCCAGCCTTGAGGGGGCAAGATGGGGAAGCACCTCCGGGTTAGTTAAGACCGGGCTTCCTCAATTCGACACCCCCCACGGTGGTTGGACAACAGTGCCCCTCATCCCCAGGCAGCACCATGCGTCTTGGCCCATCAAAGCACGGCTCATGTTCCTGGTGAGTTTGCAAACCCTCGTTTTCAACTAATCAGCATTTAGATTGGATGAAAGAAGGGTTCCTGCTTACAGTAGTTTAAAAAGAGACGTGAATCCTGCACCCATTTCAATGGGTTCCGAAGCAAATAAGGCAGTACCGAAAAGTTCTTAAATAGATGGATCCAGTAAGTCACCCTGCAGTTATTAACCACTGGAAGTGATATGTGTGGGTGGATAAACTCCATCAGGAGCAAATTAAATGCACACCCCGGCTTCCTGTTTCCTCCCCAGACTGAATGGGAGGATGCTCCTCTAACACATTAACTATTAGAGGCTGTTGGCTTGTTAATGAGTTTGCTCTGACAGCTCAGCCTTTATGAGCAGATCCTCTGGAGTGTTTAGGACTTTTCCGAAGGGACAACGTGGGACGCCGCTGAGAGAAGGAGCGTCTCAGAAGGACGAGCACAGACGGAACGGTGCACCATTGTGTCTGGATCTTTAAGGAGGCATGTCGTTCAAAAGCTGTATTTTGCTGCATTGATCAATTGCAGCCTCCCTTCTGTTTAAAAAAGGCAAGGCATTTTTACGATAATAAAATGGCATGCAATGAGAACACATGCGCTGCTTTGCTCACAAGTTTAAACACGGCTTTCGGCTATGAGAAAGAGCTTCAGCAAGCTTTCCACTCATGTGCTCCTCTCCTCCTCCTCCTCCTTTTCCTCTGGGGCAGCCACAAAGAAGAGTTCAGAAGTTTTCACTTTCATTTCAGACTAACCATATTGTGACATCCGAACCCAGGGCATACCATGCTTAATCTTAACCATGGTTAGTTGGAAAAACCCAGGTTCAGCCCTTGGACAGAAAGCCGTTCAGCACCCTTGAGTTAGAGTTTTGGCTAAATTGGGCCATGAGGTTAGGCATGATTGGACATGTGTCATTGGTCCACTAACGAGAAGGAGCTTCCCTTCCTCTCAAGAATAACGAGAAGGATCACGCTCATCTTGCCTGAACTACTTCTTTCACCAGTGTCTTGTCAGTCCCCGTCTTGGCTCTCTGAAGACCGCTGACGCTCTCTCCAATCCATGTAATCAGGGCAAACTTGACCCGCTTGCTCATGGTGTCTCCAGTGGTGAATCGGACAAAGCCAAACAACCGAATGTCATCTTGATGTGGACAGAAAGAAGGCAAACGTTAGGAAGACAGAGAAACAGCAGGAAGGCTTGCGGGAGGCTCAGCCACGCAGCTCACAAAGGCAACGGGCCTGCGCGACTGGGACGAGTCCTGCAGATGTTCATTTCAGAAGCCCTGCAGGCCTTTTCCTGGGACTTCCCATGATGGGGACTAAGGGGTGTGGCAACGCTAGGCAAACCTTCTGCTACTGTGGGGCCACCCCTGAGAATGCCGCCGATACCAACTTCTACGAGAGTCTGGGGAGGGAGCTGCCCATAAAATGAAAATGCATCCATTTGAGCACAACAATTTACTGTGGTGGATTGAGATTTAGGGGTCAGGGGGCCACATAGGCAAAGTCAGTCAGGGATTGCAACAGAAGGCACCCCAGAAGACACGGATGGGGGGCCAAGTGGGGTGAGCCCCATGGGCTTGCTCGCTCAGGCGCTAGCATTCACGAATGGGCAGCTTCCTCGCCCGCTTTCTTCGGCTTCTTTATCTTTAAGATGGATCTGGACTACGCAGGCCTTCGAACAGGGAACATCTGCAAATTGAGGACTGCCCTCTGAATGCTTTGGGAGACAAGACAGTGGGGCACACGGCCAAACGGGGAGGGGTCTGTTCGGGCTGGGCCCCCAAACTTGGACCCCCTGAATCCCCCACTCCGCTCTCTCTGGGCACTTGATAAAAAAACCTGACTCTCCTGTTGGGACACGTACGCTTCTAGAACCCCCATCTCAGTTCTTAAAGGACCCCCCACCCCACTTCGCCACCACCCCACAAAGTCTTCCAGAAAGCTGTCCGTCCGCTTTGCTAGGAGTTGCATCAAATGGCTATTTTTAAGGAATCCGCTTCCTTTAGAAAGGAGAAATGCTGACATTCTCGTACACCCCCCTCTTCTTCCTCCAAAGCCAAATAAGTGAAATTATTAGCAAATAACCAAGGAGACAACAGGGGGTGTTCCACAGATAATGCCAGGATGCACAGGCAGAATGTGGGAGGCATTCGCCCGCTCCTTTCAGCAAGATAAGCTCCCCCCTTCCTCCAAAGGGTGGCATGCGAGGCGGGTTTGCTGAGAGGATGGGCTCTCCAGTGGCACTCCCAGTGCACCCCCTCCCCAATTCCTGCAACATCGGAACCCCACAGTGTGGTTTGTGGGGATGTCGACGCACCACCAAAACAGCCCAACAACTGACCGAGGTCCTGGGTGGTCCGATGGGGCAAAGGCCTGGGTCCCGTCGGGAACTGGGCAACGTGCGTGGAAGCGCCCACTGGCAGCTTCCCACCCTGACAGCGCTGACAGTTGTGTAGAAAAGGGGATTCAGCCCCCAGCAGGGTCGTTCTCGGAGCAGCTCCCTGCTCCTCCGCGGAGCAACACAGCTTGCTTTTCTCGCTAGGGCCAGGGGCACCTGCCCTTCGTTCCCTGGCCTTTTAATGGCCCCCGTTGCCATGGCTGTGGAATACATCCAGCCAATTTATTTGCAGACATGCACTGCTCCCTTGCTGGCCCCCTCCCCACCCACCCACCCACTCGCCCTCCTCCTCGGCTGGAAACAAGCCGTTTGGAAAACCTGCACCGCGACCCCTGCATATTCAGTCAGCAGCAAGTCCTGCTGGGTGCTGTGTGGCTTAATTAAAGGCCAGTGCTGCCTTCTGCTTCTGGAGCATTCCCCACGGCGTGCCCTGCAACACCCATCATCCCCAGCCAGCACCAGAGAGGCTAAGGCTGGCTTCTCCGGAGGGCTGAAGCTGCCTCGCTAGAGAGAACCCAAACACGGCTCTTTCCTCCGTGGGAGCAGCTTTCTCCGGAACGGGTGAATCACGCAAACAGCCCCTGAAAGACACGCAGCTGCATCAGCTCAGCCCACGTCTGTTTCTCACTTATTGGCACCAGGGGCGTTTGTGCAAAATGGCGCCCTGGGTGGGCAGGTGAGCCCTTGGCCAGCCGGTGCCCAGGAAACCAGTCAGACGACTTCTTCCCAAAAGTCTAGAAGGCCGGGGAACATGGGAAGGAGGGTGGCCGCCTGAGGGTGTCCCATGGCAGTGGCTTGACCACTGTGTGGAGCCCACTGACCTGGGTCTGATCCACCAGGGCTCATCTTACAACACAGTCTTACTTCTCTATAGTTACCTGGGAACGAGCTAGAGTGAGACTTAGGAAAATGATTCCTCTCTAGACCAGACTTAGATCTGACAGACCTCCCAAAAGAACCGGGGTTCTGAGCCTCCCGCAGCCCAAGGGCTGAGTTCAGTTTCGAGTTTCGGTTTCTGCAAGCGGGTCGAAGCTGAGGCACAGGGGCTGGCGCGGTGGTGGAGACAGCAGAAGGCCACGGGCTGCACAGTTCAGCTTCGAGCTCCTCCTTGAAGCTGGTGGCCAAGCCCTGTGAGAGGCATTTCAGCCTCGGCAAATGGGGTTGTGTAGAAGCAAGGAAGCCACCCTGCTTTCCGGGGCTGGAGAGAAGCAGGATATGGGCAGCTACGGAAACCTGGAGGGTGGACTGGGGCCCCAGGCAGGCCACCTTTGGCCCATGGGCCAGACTTTCCAGAGTGGGCTTCAGGCATCATCTGGCAGCCCTCTGCAGTGGTGGCCGCATGGCCACCCTGTCTCTGTTCCCTTCTGTGACTTTCTTTACACAGCCCACAAGTTCTCCTTGCCTACTGTTTGCAGAGTGAGTCAACAGATAAGGTGCCGGAGACTACGCTGCACTTCCACCACTGGGCACAGCCCAGCCATGCAAAGGGTGTGCACCTCTCCTCCAGCACTTCCATTTATTACCCGTCTTTGCTGCCTGTTAGCCAAAGGTCTCTGGGTGGTTTCCCAAGATCAAAATCCTTACAAACAAGTGTAATATGTAGATAGGCATGGAGCTGGATAAATGCACACATGCACGGGTATAGAAACGTGCGACAGAGACAGATCTAAAAAAAACAACATTGGGCAATCAAATCCAAAAGAGGATTAAGACCTCAGCACATGTGGCCAAATGCCTGCCAGAGAAAGAGGTCTTAACCGGACATTGAAGAGGCTAACAGTCTGGAGCCAGCCGGGCCTCACCAGGGAGGTCATTCCATCGTTGGAGGGGCTATGACTGAGAAGGCCCCCGCCTTGTTTGGAGCTTCTGAAAGTCTCTGGAGGAATCATCTGAAGGGAAGGCCTTAGATGTGGCATGCACCACAGGGGCAGGGGCAGGCTGGGAAAGGTGCTGCACTGGGTGGAGATCCCAAGCCATACGTGGCTTCATGGGTCAAACTAGCTCCTTGAGCTGGGTTTGGAGACAGTCAGGCAGCCAATGGAAGCAGCCCTTCTGGTCTGAACTGCCTTCAAAGGCAGCCCCATGCAGAAGACATTGTGGTTGTATAGTCTGGACGGCCCTCTGGGTGGGATGGTGCAACGTGGTGTCCTGCAACAGCAGTGGGTTGGACCCGATGGCCTTCCTGGCCCTTTCCGACTCTGCTGTTCTCTGATTTTATGAGGATAGGTAACTGGAAGCAGGTGACCCCTGGCCACCAGACAAAGCCAGATTGAGTGGCCCCAAGACTTCCTGAGCTTCAAGCAACCAAGATGGCCCCAGGAAGGGCCCCTTGAGGGAATCGAGCCCATCCTGACCAGAAGAACCAGTTTCTCCATCCTGGCTGGACTGAGCTCTCCTTTTTTAGCCCTCATCCAACAGCCGGGGCTGCAGATACAGGGACACTGGGGGCCAGTATAGTGTGGCATTTAGGCAGCTGTGCTGGGACAGGGGAGAACCAGGTTCTGGTCCTGACAGTGTCCTGAAGCTCACAGAGCGCCTAATTTAGGCCTGCCCCAGACTGTTCAGCCCACCCTGCAGGACAGGAGCCAGAAGGCATCTTGAAAAAGGGGAGGGGGGAAGTGGGGTGTAACTCTAATGAAACCTACCATAAATAATGATGAAGATGTCTGTGGGAATCCCCCCCTGGGGCCATGCTGTTTTCAGCAGTCAGACTTTGCCCCAAGTGGGTTAGAATCTAAAATTCAGCAGTGGAGTGAATACAAGGCTGGGGAAGCAAAAGCTCTGCAGGGGAGAATAGGGGAGAATGCACCCCCCCTCTCTCTGCGTGTGTGTGTGTGTGTGTATGTGTGTGTGTGTGTGTGTGTGTGAGTGAGAGAGAGAGAGAGAGACAGAGAGACAGAGAGACAGAGAGACAGAGAGAGAGGAGACAACCAGCCTAAGCCAAAGCATTCAAATTCAAGAGTTTGCTTTTAGCAGAGAATCAAGTCTGAATTCCAGATGGCCGGGAGGAAGTGTGGGAACTAACAGCACAGAGAGGTGCTTCTTGCAAAGGCAGAGAGAAGCGGGTGGAGGTGGAAACAATTTGCAGACAGGCCAGGAATGGCTCAGCTCGACCACAATCATTACCAGAAGGAAGCATCTTTTTTCTCTCCCCCCCCCCCGCCTCCCTCCCCCACCGCACTCTGCCTTGCAGACTTACCCTTGAAGGGCTGAAGGAGCAGAAATTGAGGAACACTTTGAAAAGGGGGAAAATACAAGAGCTGTGCGTTAACTCTTAAACTAAGTCCTCTTCCTGCCAAGAGTTCTCTGCTAAAGGCTGCAGTGGAAGGAAGCCAGAGAAAGTGAGAAAGGCACAGGGGTGTAGTGGGATGTGGACTCACAGGGAAGCAATAACCAGTCGCTTTTACAAGCAGGATGCTGACCTCAGCTACCACCCCGACCCCTCCTTGTTCCCCCTGAGCTTAGCTGTGATCTTCACAACAGCAATATAGTATTGTAATGCAAAGCACGTTGTGGTCCTTGGTCTGGAATGGAAAGGAAGATCTTTATTTTTTGCAAAAGCTCTGCCCTGGATGGAGGTGAAAACCTCCAGAACCAGTTCGTTAGTATGGATCAATGCAGCTGCCTGCTTTTCAGGGCTCTGTTTGTGGGCATGGCTAAGGGAGGATATTCCTAAGGACCACCCGTCCCCCAAAATGTACCCTTACACCCTGATTACATTGCCGGTTCAGAACTGCCTGTCTCCATTCCCATTCGCTTAAGAGAATTAAATCCCTTAATCCCCAGACTATTTTGAAGAAATGCTCAGGTACAGAAGAGTGTGAGGCTTGGCCCACGCCAGAAGCTGGGGACTTTTTTCCTTTCTTAAAAATGCATAGAACTGCACCCTTAGTCAGGGAAAATATAGGCAACTGTACTTGGTTAGAAACTTTACTACAATCAGTAGGCAAGTGGAAAATAACACATGCTGGGATGAGACATACTGAATTCAGGTCTAGGCTGATGGAATCTGTGCTCTCAGCAACTGTGCCAGAAAGAGACTTGTGGATGGGGGCAACATCTGGATGAAACGTCGACCTGGGACACAGCTGGGGCCCAAACGCCAAATCCCATGTTAGGCCAAACTCAAAAAATGAACATAAAACTGCCAAGATCATGCTCTCCTTCCACAAACCCTTTTACAGCCACATTTAAAACATGCTGGTTTCACACCTGAAAAAAGACATTTTTCTGTGCTGGGAAAAAATGCAGAGAAGGGCAATTAAAGTGATCCAGTGAAACTAGGTGAAAAGATGTCTTCTAAATCAGGGAGGAGCAGAAAGCAGATTACAGGTATTTTGTAGATTCCAGGTGTTTAGGTGGCCTCCAGGTGTTTTGGACTTCAGCTCCCAGCATTCTTGGCCATTTGTGTTGCTGCCCAAAACATCTGGAGATTTGCCTTTTCCCAGCCCTGCTTCCTCAGAATACTTTGCGCTGATCTGGAGGCACCGTGCTGGCTAACCGCAACTCTTTGTCTGGGTAATTATTGTAATTAACTATAACTGATCATGCCCTTGCTACATATTATTGATTGATGTTGCATTTACTGTTATTATAGCAGGAGTTCTTTTTAATACTTTCAGCTGCAATTTTAATATCGTTATAGGTAAACAGCTTACGGATATTACATTAAGCAGTAATGCAATATGGGATTATTATGGGTTATTATTTGTATTTATCGGGTGTTCTGTTTGTAAGCTGTCCAGAGATGTGTCGTAATTGGACGGGATAAAAATACCCAAATAAAATAAAAATAAATAAACAGTACAGAGTAAGGATGGATGGATGGATGTGGAAATGTGCGGTAGCATGCAATGCTGTTGGAATGAACTTTCCTACAAATTTGCTTCTTTTTTGCCTTTTTTCTAGATGGGACATTTTCAGCGGCAGAGCAATGTGAGTTTTGGAGAAGGAGGGAAGCAGGAGCAGCTACTGAAAAACTCTTACCCCAAACAGGCCTGTCTCTTCCTCTCCCTCCATCCTAAAATGCCCTTTTAGCCCCTCTCTAAGGTTGCCTTCCTGACCTCAGAAAGAGGCCGGAGAAGGATTGGAGCACCGACTGCAGGCTCCCTCGTTCGGTTGCTGGTTTTGGCCTCAGAGCTTGGGATCTACTTCAGGCCTGTCCAGTAGTGCCCAGGGCCCACAGAAAGAATCAGGTCGTTCCCATGAGTAGCGACTTCACCATCGCTTCCCCTGCTTATTCTCCCCATTCCAGCTTGCTTTTTATAACATCCTTCCTTTTGCAGAGTCCTGGCGATCCCAAAACCTCACCCTGCTTTGGAGGTGTTTTGGGTTGTCTTAATAAAGGCATACATAAAACCTACTTAGTGCCTTCATTTCTATTCCCCAGTTAGTGACCTCATTTCTAACCTGTATTTTCATTTTAACAACGTGTCATTTTCAAATAAGAATACTTATAAAAAGAATCATGACGGAAAGGGGAATGATAGAGCTTTGAGATTCCAGCCTTCCTCAAGCCCAGAGTGGATTGATGGGGCCAGATGTTTCAACACCGTATGGGGGGAGGCCATCCTTCCGAGAAAAATAACGGAGCTGCTCAGAAGCCCTGCATTAAAATTCTTCGTTAAGGCACAAATGTCTGAAACAGGATGGGGGTGGGTCGCGTGCGAAAGGGAAGCACATTCCTCCATCAAGAAAGAGTGTCTACCCAAACAGGATGGGTGGCAGGGAGGGGGACATTTCAAAGCAGCAGATGTGATGCATCTGTGGGGCATAAAAATAATAAGTTGCAGGAAGCAGTGTGCCGGAGCTCTCCATCAGAGCAAAGCTACTTTATACCGAGTCATCTATCTAGCGCAGTAATGCCAGCTCTGGCCTGCGGTAGGCGAGTTGAAACCCTGTCTTTGTCAGAACCCTTCCTGCAGCTTCCAGCTTCTGCTGGAAATGCAACGAAATTTGCCCCATCATCTGTGACAAGCCTGCAGATATCTGTGGAATGTTGTTCCTCTTCACCTCCTCGTTTCCCCAGGCTAAACATTTCCCGATCCTCCCATTGTTTCTCAGAAATCTGTCCTTGGTTGTCCCAGCGTGGGGGTTTCCACACTGAATCACCTTCCCAGCCATTGCAGTGTGATATCCTTCCGCTTTGGGGGCCTTGGATCAAAGAGGAGCCTTCCTGAGCGATGTAGCTGTCAGTTTTGAAGGGTTCAGAAGTGCTCGTTGTGGCATCCCACCTGGACACCCCTCCAGGGAGAAGCCAAAAATCACATCCACCAATCCATTTTCCACTGGAACAGGTACTTTTTAAGCGGATGGGCCTTAATTCAAGATCAAGCCATCCCAAAATGGTTGTGGAGGAAATTTACGGAGGTAAAGTGTAATCACCATAACCATCATCCACTTACAGATTCTCCTTATCAAGGACAGAGTTCCCCTCACATCAAGGGATCCACTGCTTCTGTCTACCAGGAAGAAACCTCCTCTTTCAGAGCCAAGAACAGATGGATCCTCCAAGATATCTTTGCATGGTCTCACTGAACACCATTCTTTCAGTGTGGAATACATTCTCTTCCCTCAAGCATGTGTGAACATGACAGAATGAAGGCACGATCTACTGGAAGCCCTTCTGAAAGACCTGCTGTTTACATGCATGAGTTTTGTGTGAAGGCAACATAATGGTGTTATGGAGCGATGCCCTGACGAGAAGCTAAGAGCTTCCCGAGGGACTGACCTGGGGGAGGGGAAAGCTCATTGAAGCTGCGAGAATGAACAGATTCCTAGCAAGCCATTCATCAAAAGATTCATGCAAAGTTATTCATCCATGTGTCCGCCTCTCAGACACAAAGCCACACACCACGTTCTGCATTCCTGCCAGGCCTCTCTGTTCCCGCTTTATTATTCTACATCTGAGAGCAAGCAGGAAGTAACTGCACTCTGGCACAACGGACTGTCTCACAGACGGAAAAATCAGAGCCAAGCGCAACCTGCTCTGCATGTGAACAGAGGAAGTGCAGCAGGAAACACACCAGACGCAACCCCCTTTGACATGAAGAGGTTTGGAAAGTGTGTTCTTCGTGCCCTTTCTTAGATCAAGAAGTTCTATGTGACACTTGCAAGAGAGAGCTTTAGAAAGTGATAGTTTCTCTTGTACCCATCTCTTTGCAAAGTTACGGGCTGAGCAGATGCTTTGAAACCGGGGGGGGGGGGGGCGCAGGTCAGCCATGCGAGTCTGCAGATCACCTCGCTTCTGTCCCCCTCTCTAAATCCCGATCCAAATCCAAATCGGCTTTTCCCCAGCCATATAAAAGCTGCTGTGATTCAGACCTCCTTGTGTGCATGCAAATGCGCCATTCCATGCACAATGCACACCTACACACACCAAGCCATCAGGAGGAGTGGAGCAACCGGTTTCTTTCCAAAGAGATGCAAAGAGAAGGCATTCTCCAGAACTCCCCAATTCTCAACCGTTTCCCTCCCCTTTTAAGGACTGGGAAAGTGAAGTCAGGACCTGTGCTGGCATCTAGTCCATCGTGTATTGAAACGGTGAAGTGCCACTTCCACCAAAAAAATCCCCCGGAAGCAAGTCATTCAAGAGCATTCCAGGGAAGTTGGGGGAGATGAAAGCGATGTGTAACTAGAAAAGTGTGTCCTCTCATGTTTTCAAGACACGAGACTTTAGATCAAACATGGACACAAAGCACCACAGAAGCCAGCCTGGAGAGACCTGGCCAAAGGTTCCACACCTTCAGCTCGGCATCCATCACCAAGCAGTATCCGGAGTATTTTCTCCTCTGTGCATGCTGAATGGCTGGGCACAGAGTCTTCTCTGTGATGGCACCCTCATTATAAATATTCATTTGAAGCTTCTCATCAGTTTCTTGAGCGTTTGGTGCATTTGGGTGGTGCCCCTTAAGAAATAAAGTTATTTTGTTTGGGGGTGCCATTTTGAACTGCATGGTTGGATGCATATTTAGTCAGGTGTAAGTCCCCTTAAGCTTTGCTCAACGAGTATACTTTAGGAGTCCATAAATAAACTAAACCATGCTCCACTAGAGGCATGTCAACCGAAGGACAGGATTATAAACCTATTTTAAACATTTTAATGAAAACATGAATGTGGAGTATTGCTTTTTCAAGCACGTTATGTTTATCCAGAGGCCCACATGCAATGAATCTCATATAATCATGGACCCTGAAGCTGAACAAATAAGCGGTTGGGCTCCTGTATTAATTCTGAAGGAAGGGCAGTTGTGTGTACCCAGGAATGGGCTGGAATGAATGCCAGGTCTGGAATGCTCATCATCTGTGCTTTCAAGCCCAGGGGACGGCAAGTGGCAAATGAAAAGGTGTGATCGCTGGATTTTTTTTAACTCTCCATTTCCTTTATGGCTCCCTTTACTGAGATTTTGCCTTTCTTCAAGCCTTCCCCCAAAGAAGTCCATCTTTTGCACAGTTTAGCAATGAAAAGGGGCAGGCAGACAGGCAAGTTCGTTTTGGAGGGGAGGGGAGGGGAGGGACGCACCACCAACTTAAATGCAAGGGTGAGACAAAAGAGGATTAGGTGGATGAGATCATTCTGCTTCCACACAAAACTCAGCCATCCAAGCACCTTGGCGGAGGAGACTTTCGAGCGCTGCAAAACCCCTTTCCCAGCCGTTCATTGGGCCTCGGCGGGCCTCGGGGGCGTCCTAGTCAGAGGAAAGCCGAACGGCCTTACCTGTGCACTGCCTGATGAACTCTTCGTAATCCACTCCGTGGTGCCCGGGAACGATGGTGGAACCGTCATACCTGAAGGACACCCTTTGCAAACGGGAGGAAAAGCCATGAGAAAGCAGCCCGTCTGAGCCCTGTCAATGCACCTTTCTCGGTGATGTTCTTTACCTTGCAACTTTCGATGGGCCATTTCTTGACTCTCTCTCTCTCTCACACACACACAAACACACACACCCCCGCGCGCGCAAGACACCCGAAGAATCCCCGGATCGCCCACCGTCCCCCTTCCCCATCCGGCCCCCGAGTGTCCCGATGGCCACCCCACGGGGCATTCCCCACGGAGCCGAGCTTTGCGCAAGGAATCCCACCTCCCGGCCCGGAGGGGGGGCCGCAAAGGGAGAGGAGCCCGCCCGCCCCCGCGGCTCGGATTGCGGCAAGGCTGGCCGGCGCCCCCAGCTCCAAAGCGCCCTCGCTCCGCGCGCGGCGGCCTGGGCTCGCCAACAAAGACTGCGCGGCGCATCCGCCTTACCAGTTCACCTCCGTGGCATCGTCTCGCACGAGGTTGTACGCCTCCCTGCACGCCTCTTTGTCGATCTTCGTGGCCATTTCTTGGAGGAGGTCTCTCAAGACTGAAGGGAAGGGGTGGGTGGGCAGGCGACAAAGGGGGGCTCCAAAGGAGGGAGGATCGCTCGCTCACTCGCTCGCTCAATCGCTCCCTCCCTCTCTCTCCGCCCCCTCTCGGTCGTCTCTGTACGCCAGCAGGGGAATTTGGGCACCGGCTCGGGGTCCCAGGAGGCGCTCCTCTCCTCTCCTGTCCTCTGCGCAGCACCGGAGTTCAGACGGCCGAGGAGGAGGAGGAGGAGGAGGAAGGACAAAGAAAAGGGGGCAGAGCGAGCCAAAAAGAAAGCGAAGGGCTGGTGACGAGGAAGCCGGCTCCTCGGCCGTTGCTGCAGTCCTCGCCTTGCCAAAGCGATCCGTCAGAGCGATCCGCTTAACCCCTGGCTGCCCGGCAAGGCAAGGAGAGAGGCTCGCCTCTGATCTGGTGGCGCGCGATTGGTGCGCGCGCCCGGGGAGGCGGGGGCTGCCTCCTCTCTCTCTCTCGATCCGCCCCCCCCCCCCGCCGTGGCATTTTCTGAACACCCCTCTCTCCCGAAGTGCAGTGGTCGTCGCCTCACGCCCACTCGGGGTCCCTGCTCGGGGAAGCATTGCTCGGATTTCTGCGCGGTGATGCAATCGCTTTCTCCCCCCGCAGAGGATGGATGGAGGGCGGCTTGGATGCTCAGAGGAGCCCTTGCACGCACACGCACGCACGCACGCGCACGCACACACACACATCTATAGGTTCGGCCGCCTTGGAAAGCGCCTTTCCGTGGCGCTCCTGCTTCTCAGCTGCCCTTCGGGTGATGTGCGGGGGTTGCTATGGCAACGAACCACCCCAGGCTTCCCGCACGAAGTGAGACGCGGCTTGGGCGGGGGTCTCTGCTCCGGGGCAACCCTCACAGAATAAAGGTGTCCTCCTGACTGAACGAGGCCCGCTTTGGCGCAGCGCTAAAACCCAGTTGCGCCACTGGGGGTCCCGTGCTGGAGGAAGGGTCGCAGCACCGTGCGCAGCCTGTGCCTTCCTCCCCTTCCTGCCCTCGGGAGGATGCGCTCGTGCGCAAGAGGGGGACTGGGTGCCCAGAATTAATCAAACAACAACCATCCCAGTTGCTTTCAATTTTAACTTCTAAACGGGGTTCAAAGAAAAGTAAGTTGCAGGGCGTTTAAAAATGGGCAGGTCAATAGGACATGAATCTGCAAAAAAACCCCAAACCCTGCGGATGTTACAGGGACCTAAACGCAGAAACACGTGCGCTGGCTTGGAGGAAGAGGCAGGATATTAACGCAACAAATCGATAAAAAGATCAAGCAGACCGGTGTTGCTACGCTCTTGCATCCTGATCCTCCGGCCAATGAGAGCTCGAGAGAGAACCGCAAGCATGGCCCAGCCTGCAATTTCCCTGGAATATGATTGCTGGGGGCTTTCCCTGTTTTTCCTAAATATGGCTTTGTGATGCATCTGTGCAAGAGGAGGGTCTCAGCATCAACATCCCAATAGATGCAGCTTCCCCACGAAGCCTGAAAGGACGCGGTTTTAAGTATGTTTCAACACGGAGAACAGCCCTCTTGGTGGTACCCAGTATTCCTCGGCCAGCATGTTGCTAGTAGGGCTTGCTCTGTCCGAACATGGATCCCGGAAGGGTCTTGCCAGCCCCTCAGAATCCTTGCAGTACGTGGCTTCCAGTCCCTGCTCGTGAAATGCAAGGTTGTACGCCTCCCCTTTGGTGCTCACAGTCCTGATTACTCTCAAGTAGTGGAATGCAGATGAGTCATCTCTGACCATCCTTCTGCCTCCTCCCCCGTCCTTGCTCCCTCCGAGAAACATCACCTGCCTGTGACAAGCTTCCCATAGAATTTCATCAGGCAGCTGGATTCTGCAGCTGCCCCATGTCGCGCCGAGAGCATTGGGAGCCTCCCTTTTCCATAGGTTTTCCCACTGTGGCTGCCTCAGAGTCCTAAAACCAGAAATGTGCATTAGGAAGTGGAGGACAGAATTGCTGCACAACATCTTTTGCTTAGGAGCACCAGCGGCCGCTCACCTAGGATAGGGCTGAAGAATTGTGGGGCTGTGAGCCCCTGGCAAGCCTCAGAGTCCCAGTTTGGCCATCTCGGAAATCCCCCCTTTATGCTCTTTTCCTCCCCTTCAGAAAGATGGAGCGACTCTGTGATGGGCAGTAAGAGCTTTATGCTCATGTTTGCTGGCACTCTGAAATAGCAGCACCACTCCTCCAGTGCCAGAAGGCAGGCCATGAAAGCACCTCTGAAACAGAATTTGGCCCAAGGAGTGAAAGGCGGCCAATACCTTGACCAAGACACATGCTCGGAGCCAAGAAGCACAAGGCCAGGAGAAACGCCAGCAGTGATTATTCAGAACAACCCTAATCCCGTAACTGTATTTTTTTTTAATGGAGCCCTTTCAGAGATAGGCCATTGCATTCCCTTCCAGATGCATTGGCCTGCAACTCCCATAAGCCCCAGCCAGCATGACTGATTGTGGTGGACTTTGGGCATTGTAGTCCAAAGCATCAAGAAGGCATGGGGCTGCCTTCCCTAGTATCCCAGTCCGATGGAGTGCTTCCAGCCAAATGGATGTGCAGGTTCCAAGATTAGCTATGGTGGCTCAGATGAACAACGGAGGAGCCATGGCCAATCAGAATGAGGGTCTGCGTAGTTTGCTGTGGGGGCTGGGGACTGGGGATTGTAATCCAGCACATCTGGGGGGCACCAGATTGGGCAAGAATGGCCTCTCTAGGCCCAGCCTCCTGCTTCCAACAGTGGGCAGCCAGGAAGCCAACAAGCAGGGCATGAGGCCTGCTTTGCTGTCATTTATCCCCTAACATCTGTTATTCAAAGTTACCCCCAGTCAGAACGTGGGCCTTTGCATACCATCAATGGACAACCAAAGCCTAACAATGCTTGGAAGACTGACAACAAGAACAAAAGGTACTATGAAAGGTTTATTGTCCAAGAAACAAAAAGCACGCTGGCTTATGAAGAAGCCCTTTATCAAGGGCAGAATTTATTACAGATTCTCTCACGCAATGACTGGAGAAGTGATCTGCAGCCAGTCTTTGTTCTGAAGCGACAGCGTCTGCCGTTCGGCATGTTTACTCAGAAGCAGATCCTACTGTGACCCATTCCAGGTAAGTCTGCAGAAGATCAAAGTCATAATGGGGGAGAACAAAGCCAGTACTGCGGAGGTTGCTCCACGGTGCTTGCTGAAAAATGTCTGTCCTTCGGCTCTTTATGCCGTGCATCATTTTTGCAAGGCAGGCATGCTCCACATGCATGGAGGCAAAAGAACCAGCCCGAAGCCTCTAGCAGATGCTCAGCTAAAACAGAAAAGCCAGCATTTATCGCAGAGTGCAAGTTGCTGGAAATGTTCAACTAGTGAAACAGACTTCGTCTGAAAATCAGTGCCTCCGTGTGGCTCCCAGAAATAACCTTCTCCGTGGGAATTAGGCCTTTCTAGGTTTAAACTGATATTCGCTTTTTGTGCAGGAATCCACACCAAACCCCAGTGAGACAAGCAAAGCTCCAAATAAATTTTATAAATATCAAAATTTGGCAGGGATGCACACAAAGACAGAGAAAAACAGGGGCTGAATTGGTTTCCTTCTTCTGCAAGAACTCTATTTGTAAAAGGATCCTCTGCCCAATTTGGGGAACCCCCTTCTCCACATAAGAGCACCATTGATCCAGCCTAAATTTGGATCTAAACCATTCCAGTTGAAATCAACTCCGGGAAATTATGTATTTCCAGAAGCAGCGCTGTGAAAACTGTGCATGTGGACAAGAAGTGATTCCTCGGATATGGATAATCCCAGATCACTGCCTGAATCTCCACTATGAACATTAATTATCCTCCGAATTACAGCTTTTAGACAGTGAGCAGGGGAATGAGAGAGTCCCTGGTTTTGATTCAGATGCAGCTATCTCCCCCTGCTGGCCTGAGAAGTTTCTGTAGCAGTAACATGCCTGGCCTACAAAGAATAGGTAAGGCAAGTCAGAAAACTCAGGCGCCTGGTAACTTCGGAAACCTAATAAACCAAGCAGGGTTGGGGATTTCAAGCTCAGTTGCTGCAGAGGCAAGGAAGCATATTTCCCACCTATCTAGCTCCAGGAAACACTTGACATTTCCCATGTTTTGCAGAATTTCTGCTATTTCTAGGCTGAGGAACTCAATGGGCTGCAGGTGAAGAAGGACAGCCTTCTCCAACGGGACACCTTCCAGGTGTGTCACACAAGAATTCCCAGCATTCCTCAGCATTGGCCAGCCATATTGGCTGGAGCCGAAGTTCAAAACAGCTGGAAGCATCAGGTTGAAGGCTGACCTAGGAGAAGCAAGCGACACGTTTCCGTCCACTGAAAGGAACGGCTCCACCCCTGGGCACAATAACACACATGCCACTCCCTAGAAACATGCCCATTCCCTAGACTGGAGCCCAGCCACAGCCCGCCCCCCCCCCCCCTTGGGATGGAGGGGCTCCCACCAGACTAGTTGCAGAGTTCGGCCGCAAGGGAGCAACTCTCCCAGCACGAGAAGCTGCAGGAACGGTGTTTCTTAGACCCAGTGACAAAGCTTCCGCACATGCCCGACTCAAGCCGCTATGTGGCAGGGCAAGAGGCCAGGGTACAGAACTCTCGTCACCCCTTCTCAGACTCAGTAACTGCAAACTGTAAATTAACAACGAAGCGTAAATCCATGACGGTGCCCCAGTGATGCGAAACCAAACACAACCAAAAGGAACGAGGTTTTCAAGGTAACAGACCCAACGCTAGCAAGGAAACCCAGTAATGGAGGCAGAGAGCCAGCAAAGGTAGCAGGGCTCTCCCGTGTATTGCACTAAATGCGACTTAGATGATTTTCCGCTGGCGGAACAGAAATTGTGGGAGTGTTCTTGGCAGAGGAGCTCCTAAAGCTTGCCCCTTGAAATCAAGGCTGCTGACGTGGAGGAGCAAAGTGAGCCCAGCAAGCGGCTGACAAGACTGCTGGGCTGCTGGGTTCTTCCTGTGTGATTGCTCCTTTGCTTCATGGAAAATTTATTTATTTATCTGGAATTTTTGTATGCCATCCCATTCGCATAAGTCTCGGGACGGCTTCCAACATTATACATAAACAGTGAAACAATATTAAAACCAATAAATAATATTAATTATTGAAATATCATTTAAATGAAAAGGTTTTGGCCTGGCGCCGAAAAATAAATAATGACAGCGCCAGGCGGACCTCTCTGGGGAGCGCATTCCATAAAATGGAGGCCTAGGGGAAAGGGAGGTGGCCCCTTAGAAGGTGTGCAGTCTTGGAAGGTGTGCCCATGGGAGCTGTGGGTCCAGGGAGCACAGCGCTTCTAGGAGTGGGAGGTTTGAGCATTAATTGTTAGGATGTTTGGGTGATGTTGATATTCCTCCTATTGTATAGGCTGGACATGCGCACGGTAGGCATGTCATGAGTGGATCCAGCTGGAGTCGGGGGTCAGACTAGATGGCCCAGGAGGCACCTTTTGACTCGCTCTGTGTGTCTGTATCCCACCTTGCCTGCCCAGTGCTAAGGTTGTGGCTGTCATGCACCATCTAGTCTCCCAGGCAGTGCTGGGATAGCGCCGTGCTCCACGCTGGAACCAGTGATGTGGGGCCTGGAGACCAAATTTGGGTTGCTTAGGCTACGAGAAGGTTGGAGACCAGGAGCGCCAAGGTGGCCCTCTCTGAAATGCTCCCTCTTCCAGGTGCAGACAGGTAGACAGACACTGCTGCGAGTCTCAATACCGAGAGTAAGGCGTTCGGATAGGTTTGATGCTGTGGAGTGTTAGGAGCTGCAGTTTTCTCTGGCTTTGGAAAGGAGGTCAAAAAGCAGCCCAGAATCGCAGAGTGCGTGTTTATTTTCGTGCAGCCTCTCCGCTTTGGAAGACCACTCCTTTCTTAGAGAGTTTGTGCCGCTGGCCAGCCAAGCCTCGGCTGGCCCCCTTCCAACCTGCTGGTCTGCCACTCCTTGCACAGAGGGCGAACAGCAGCTGCTGGCGATCCAGTTCTGGCGTATAAATGCCTCCTGCTTGTGAGAGCGCCACTGCATCCTCGTTGGTGTGAGCTCGGGTGGACTCCGGGGATGGAGGAGGCCAGGAAGGCCTGGAGGAAGGTTGCCCATGGGGTCGCGAGGGGTCGGCACGACTTCGCCACTAGCAGCAGCAGCAACTGCACGGAGGTGGGCCGGGCGGAGAGGCAGCGCCCGGCCCTACGCCCCCTAGGAAATGAGAGGGAGGGAGGGAGAGAAGGCGGGCGAGCAAGGACGGGAGCGAGGCCACGGGAGAGCGAGCACGGAGGGGCAAGGCGAGGGGGCGCCGGGGGGCGGCCCCTCCACGCGCCGCGCCGCCCCCCGCCGGGCAGAGCGCCTCCCCCGCCCGCCAGGGCCCGGGCGCCGCCGCCGCCGCCGCCGCTCCTCCTCCTCCGCGCTCCCGCGGGCGCGCCGCGCCTTCCATCCGGCCGGCAGTTCCTGCTCCGCGAGCGATGGCCGCCCCGGGTACCGCGGTAAGCGCCCGCCGCGCCGCTCTCCGGGCTGGGGCATGATGGGAAACTCCCGCGGGCGCCGCAGCATCCTCCGGGCCGCCGCCGCCGCCACCGGGACCCCTCGCCGGGACGGCGCAGACATGGCTTTAGCTGTGCGCCTGACAGCTGCGCCCAGCGCCGCGCCTTTGCTTGCCAGGACTGGGCGCCAAAGCCTGGGCGGCGGGGGGGGGGGGGGCCGTTCTCGATGGGGACCCACGCCTGCGGGGAGAGGGCAGGGGGCTCTTCGGAGCCGAGTTGCCCCCTCCCGACGCGCTGCATCTGCTCCAGAGCAAAGGCGGAAATGGGAGGAGGCAGCGGCGTAGGGACGCGGGCGGGCAGCAGCGCGGCAACCCTCCGGTGGGAGAAGGGGGCGCGATCCCCAGTCGCTGCACGTGTGTTCGCGGGCCCCTTTCCCACCTGCGTTTCACACGCATGGCGCGCGGGGGGGGGCTTTTTTATAAGCGTGCGTTGCCATTCTCTCTCTCGTGCCTTCGAGAAATGCTTTTCAGCAACTCCTACCCTCTCTTCTCTGCGCCGCGCCAACTTTCATTGGCTTTTGCTTCCTGCCTCCTCCCTCTCCAGCAGTTTGCCTTCGCATGCCAGATTGGTCTTTGTTCTCACATCATGCTAAGCCATGCTGTGGTTCAGTGAAATCTGGCCTGTTCTTGGGTCTGAACCCAGCCCTGCAAACAAACCATGGCTTCTTGACTGGCAACCCATAATGGTTTGTTAACTGGTGAGAAACTTGGCCTTGGTAGCTCTTTACAAACTAAATAACTATGTGTGTACCATGGTTTAATGTTGACTTTCAAAGTCTGTCATCTCTAAACCTTGGCTTGTCGGGGTGTCTGAACTGGAACTTGGGCAAATTGTTGCGCCCCCCCCCCCCCCATGCCTGGCATTCTAAGCATTGTTTTCAGCTGCGTGCGAATCTGATGCAGTCCCATTCCAAACTATGTGGGTACCTCTCGATTTTTCTAATGGAAAGCAGCATTCCCTACTGCACAAAAACTTAAGCATCCATTGCAGTTTCCCCTTTATTTACCACTGTACAAAATGAGTGGGAGAAAGAAACAAATTAACCATAGAGAAAACAAGCCACAGTTTGCTTGTATATGTGCAGGACAATACATGGCTAAACCATGATGAACATAGTTTGTGGCTTAGTGTTATATGCAAATACAAGCTCACTCTCTGTGGTTTGGCAGTGTCTTTAGATCTCTTGTCCCCTGCTATAATTTATTCCCCTCAACACTTTATTATTCTCCATTTAAAAAAAAAACCTGTCCTTGTGTTCTTCTACTTGCTATTAAACCGCTCTGCAGAAAATTGTGATATAATCCACCCAGATGAGGGAGAAGTTTCTTGGGCCTGCTTGGTATGCATTGCAAGGACGCCTTCCTCCCACACCTCAAGGCCAAATTTGCTTCCAAGCGGGAGCAGAAAAATGCATTCCAGCTGCTGGCTGCAGCCCACACTTGACCCGAGATAAAGAAAGAGGTGTGGGCAGGACTGGATGAAGGGCCAAAATCCTCCCCACCCCTGACTTCCCCGGCAACTCTGCCCAAGCTGCAGTTGCAAACAGGTGACAGGCTTCCGGCATTCGGGCTAGGATGGGCGTGCCAAGGACAACCAAGGCAGGTGCTACTGGTCGTAGCAATCTTTTTTTTAAGCATGCTTTTAAAAACAGATTTGAAAAATAAAATTGGTTAAGGAGGGAGAGAATCCCTCTTTGGAAATGTTATGGTAGTTCAGGTGTCCGTGTGCAGGTTGTGTTGTCCTCCCTTCATGACGCTACCACTTCTTTCCCCTCTTCCTGATCACTTAAAATACCTGTTTGTTCAAATATCACTTATTTGTTTTTCGGCACCAGGCGAAGACCTTTTTATTTAAAACTTAATTATTGCTAAATTATTGAATTAATTAGGATTTTAACATTTTTAGCCGAGAATGCAATGCACCGGGGGTTTTTAAATGTTTTTTTTTCCTTTTAAATTGTTATATTATTATTATTTATGTATGTTTTTATGTATTCTTTGTGAGCCGCCCTGAGGCTTTGTTGCGATGGGGGCGGTATAGAAATGTTTTAAATAAACAAATAAACCTTAAGGAGGGAGAAATGAAGGAGCTGCATCAGTAATGTGGGTTTCCCAGAAAATTCTGAAGTGGAAACATCTCCCATGCAAATTGGGCTCATTTGCATGGGGAATGCTTTGCATGGGAAAGTGGGCCCTTTGCATTAGATCACTAGAGTGATCTAATTTAGTATGTTTACCAAGGCCAAGCTAAGCAAATCAAGGTAAGCAGGCATTCCGTGTCATTTTTTGCAGGTGATCTAAAACATTTGAGGGGAAAATGTGAAGTATGCTTAGGGTGCCATCCTATACACATTTGGACAGAGGAAAGGGATTCTGGAAATCTTAGGGCTTTTTATTCCCAGCCTAATTATGCATAGGATGATGCGCTTTTCATATGCACTGGCAAGTTATCCTGTCTAACTGCCCTGCTCAGTGCTAAGCGCTGATGCCATTCATTCATGTTTTGTGTAATGTTATGTAGATCTATTCATTAGCATATGTGCAAACATTTCAAAGACAATGGGATGTAGTTTTCATACATCTTTCTTATATGATGCAGAAGTACAGTTCTTCTATTCATAACCTTCCCATGTGCTCACACCATTACTCTCCCCCACCCCGCCCCCCCGTCACAATCAATCAATCAAATTAAATCTTCTAAGAAGAGAAAGATGGGGGAGAGAGAGAGATGTAGAAAATGTTCTTCAAGAAAAATTTGGAAAGGAAAAGAATCCCCTGCACATTTGCATACGGCTATTTGCTTTGGAAAGTTTTACTTTTCACTGGACAATCACAAGCGGGTGATCTAATGTAGCTCGTTTACCAGATCCATGTAAACTGAACAAAGCTTTTGCTGACTGTTTGCCATGCTGGCTGCAGTCGAGCCAATTTCCAGGGGGTTACAGGTTTACCACCCTTCATCCAGCAGAACAATTCAGTGCTGCTTTGCTAAAGCAAATACATTTGAAAATGATGCATTTCGTCATTAGAAGTTCATTATGTTTTGATGGATCCCAGATCTGAATTTGTCGTCTCTTTCAGCAGGAGGGGATGCAGCTCGTATACGAGTGTTTTTATTTGCTTGTTTTCTTACTTCAAGGGTCCTAAGAAGCTGGAATGAAGATGGAAGGAACTAGACAAACAAGAATTTCTCGCCCACGTAAGATAAGTGAATCCTCAAAGGTCTGTATCTTAATTGCTTTCCCAAGCATTTAGGAATGGTTAGGTCTACTGCTGCTAACTGGTTTTATTGGGGTTTTAATTTTAATTATTTTATTGCTGTTTATTTTGATGGTGTGTTACTTTTTATTTTTAAATGATGGGTGAGATATGTTTCTTCCTTATTTATAAGCTGCCTTTCCAGCAAAATGAAAAATAGCAAATGCAATTTAGAATGGGTGAAAACCATAAAGCACATGGAGGGAGGAATCCTGCGGCCTTGAGGTGCCCCAGGATAGTTTGGACTGACGGATCTGAGGCTGGAGACATGCTCTGGCCAGGGAGCTGATCCTGATCCACCTCTCCCATGTTGCCCCTCTGAGGTGGGAAATAAACTTTGGAGGGGGGCACCAGTGAGAAGGGAGGAGACTAGGGACTCCGGGATACGATGCATGCTTGCTGGACTTCAGAAGGGGACGGAAGGGGGCTTGAGTGGTTCTTCTAGATGGTTGAAATGCTCTGTCAAGCTATAAAGCAGGTGTGGTGCAGGCAGGTGGCGCTCACCTGTCACTCCTCTTATTCTGCATTGAATGCTCATAAGCTGAGTTCGGAGGTCTCAAGGCAAAACACAGGACATCCGAATAACCATGTTCCCACTTCGGAATGAAACCATCCCTCAAACCCACTTACAGGCCAAAGGCCTCCTTGAACATGTTGGTCGTTGCTTGTCGTTGGAAGGGTAGGAGAGAGGGGCTGAGATTCAGTGAGCAAGGAGGCAAGGGCACCTATTCCTCCTCCTCCTCCTCCTCCTCACTACCACCATATTGGTTTGGGCCAGAATGGGAAGCAGGTGAAGAAGTCGGTTGCATTGGCGAGGAGGAGCATCTCCATGGGGCCCTGGCCAGGTGGCCTCCATTGGGCAGTGCGTCCTTCAAACACGCCAGCGCTTGGCATTGTCCCTGCCGCTGTCTCTTTGGTTTGACACCCCGGCTTTCTTTCAGGTATACAAATGCACCGACCACGCCGACGCCGTTCTTCGGAGCCTGAATGAGCAGCGACACCAAGGCTTCTTCTGCGACGTTGTTCTGGTTGTGGATGAGCAGCGAGTCCCGGCCCATCGGAACATCTTAGCCGCCTGCAGCGACTATTTCAACTCCATGTTCACCCTCGGCATGCGAGAGGCCTACCAGAGAGAGGTGGAGCTCTTTGGGGCGTCCTACCTCGGGCTCAAGGCCATCGTGGACTTCCTCTATGGCTGCGATCTGTCCCTCAACGGCGGAAACATCGACTACATCCTGGAAACAGCCCACCTGCTGCAGATCTGGAAGGTGGTGGACTTCTGCTGCGAGTACTTGGAGAACGAAGTCAACGAGGAGAACTACCTGTACCTGCAAGAGCTGGCTCTGAGCTACAGCCTCCAGCACCTGGACGCGTACATCGACGCGTTCATCTTGAGGAACTTTGGCACGCTGTCCTTCACGCCGGCCTTCCTGCAGAACGTTTCTGGCCGCAAGCTGTGCCAGTACCTTGGCAGCAGCGACGTCCAGCAGGAGTGTGAGCACGACTTGCTGCAGGCCGCGCTGCAGTGGCTGACGCAGGATCCGGAGAGGGAATGCGAGGCCTGCCGGGTCTTGGAAAACATCCACTTCCCCTTGATCCCGAAGAGCGATCTTCTGCACCGGGTCAAGCCCGCCATCTGCGCTCTTCTCCCGAAGGAGAGCAAGTGCGAGGGCTTTGTGGAAGAGGCGGTCTATTACCACAACCACGTGGCGGCTCAGCCAGCCCTCCAGAACGAGCGGACCGCGCTCCGTGGGAGCACGGAGAAGCTCCTCTTCGTCGGCGGGGAGGTGTCGGAGCACAGCTTGGAGCTGAGCGACGACACCTGCTTCTTGGACACCCAGGAAGGGCGGTGGGTGCGGGAGACGCCGCTGCCGGCGAGACGGAGCCACCACGGTGTCGCGGTGCTCGGGGGCTTCATCTTCATCGCCGGCGGGAGTTTTTCTCGAGACAATGGTGGGGACGCGGCCTCCAATCTTCTATATAGGTATGACCCTCGGTGTAACCAGTGGATCAAGGTGAGCTGTAGCACGTGTCTCTTTTACCCTTTGTATGTTGGAAAGGAAGGGACTTTTAAAGATAATTTAAAAATTATCAGGGGTCCATCTGGTCTGGCTTTTCATTCACACAGGGGCCCACCGGCTGCCCCAGTGGGAGACCCACAAGTAGGACATCAGTGCAACAGTGGTCTCCACTTGGGATGCCCAGACACTGACGTCCCGAGGCGTCCTTTCTCTGATCCTAGAGAGGCAGTGTAACTTCATGTTTCTAGCACTCATGATGGAGAAGAGTCTGGCACAGAAAAGAAGGGAGCCGCCCCTTTCGAAGAGGAGCAGGAGACCTATTATTGAACTACTCAGGATTGTTCCCCTTTGCTCCAGGCGACTCAGACCTATACAGAGAGGTACCCCAGACCCAGTGCAATGAGCCTGCTTGTTTGGAGGTGGCAGGCAAGCTGTTCTCCAGGCCGTTGTCCCAAGGTCAAAACTGAGTTTTGCCACCCGGGCAAATTCCAGTGACTGTGGCCATCCTGGATCGGGGCAACCTAAATAGGGACCTCGGCTTCTTAGACAGCTTTCCAGCGAACAGACCTGGCTTTGCACAGGTTGAAAGAGCACTTAGTTTGATGCTTCCGAGCGAACCGATGCAGACGCTGGGTTTGGAGGTATCGTGTGCCCACTTGTCCGAGTACAGTCAGGTTTGCCGCATGGTCTGTTGAGGGAGGGATCTGTCCCCCATCGCTTAGCCTAGGGAAATCCGCCCCTAGTGGTGGGGTGTTACTTCGGACAGCAACCATCTGGAGACGTTTAAGTTAATTCAAATTAAGTCATGCGTTTTACAAACAATTTAGCCCTGAGGTTCCCACTCCGACTATGCTCCCCAGTTTAAGTCTTGGTGCTATGGCTCAGATGGACGGACAGACACACACACACGGTCATAATTATACGATAAGCCAGGCTCGTCATGGGGCAAACCAAGTTTTATAAGAAAGTCGGGACCACCTAGCCTTAAAGAGTTCCCCACGTGTGTTCGGACGTGTCTTTCATCACTGAGGAGATCCAAAGAGTAATGCGAGGTGGGCTCGGAGTGCAGAATCTCAAAAAAAGAGCACCTCTGGATTGGGCTGGAGGGCCACCCTTTCCAGAACCCTGATCTCCAGAATGAGATGCACCTGGGTCGCCCACCGACAGGCCTTTTGTCTGCTGCTCCTCTCTGGCAACTAGTATTTGTAACGACTTTTCTCCAGCCTGGTGTTCTCTCCGCCACGTATATCGGAGTACGGTTGCCATCATGACTGGAGAGAATGGGCATTCTAGTCCTTTAGAGATTGAGGGAGGATGATTTGGGGGTTGACTGCTGCTGAATGCAGACGTTCATTTTAGAGTTCCTGGATCATGACCCTCCATAGTCCTCCCTCTGCGGACGACTTGGATCTCCTTATGAACAATTCCCACAACTTTTGGAAAATAGTCCCCCTGCTGCAAATGTGAGATTAAACTTTTCTTAGGGCTGGGAAATTATGACTCTGCCCCCAGGGCATCATGGGTAGTTCTGAGGAGCAGGGGCAAAATGCGACAGGGCCCCGTTGCTGCACCCCCAAGGGGAGAGCAAAAATGCAGGGCTGATTCATACCGACACAGCGTTTCTGCTAGTTTTCGTCTCTACCAGCTAGTTCTAGTTTCCACTTTGGAAAGTGGAAGCTTTTTGCAAAGCTCATGCGCCTTCGGGCCAAGCCATCCCAAAATACTTTGCGCTACAGCTGGAGAACAAAACCTCGTTCTGGGAAATTCCATTTCCCTCTGCCTGTTGCGAGGATGGAGGCTTGGCTCGGAGGGAAACGGGAAGCCGGAACGGATTGGCAGCTGATGAGAGCACCCCTGCCCGCCTTGGCTCCGCTAAGGCACCATCTTTGGTTGGAGGGTTGTGAGCGGGCCTCCCCTGGCCTGGGTTGTGACAAAGAGTCTGTTGTCAGTAGCCGCTCTTGCCATTCAAAGCTTTTGGCCTGGGTGCTTCCCCTTTGCTTCTGCAGCTTGCCCCGATGAGGCAACGCCGAGTGGATTTCTATCTGGCCGCTGTCAAACGCATCCTGGTGGCCGTTGGTGGAAGGAACGAGAACGGGGCACTTTCATCCGTGGAGATGTACAGCCCCGAGAAAGACACGTGGTCCTACGTGGCCGGGTTGCCAAGGTAAAAAGGGACTCTTTGGGAGTTCAAAGCATTGTTCCTTGTTTTTCTTACATGTTGCAAAACCCCATTATTTAAACTTCCTGGTAAAAGCTGCAAATGTGAGCAGCTTGTCGGGCCACTTTCTGCCTTGGCAGTGGAGAAACCGTGGCGGCATTTCAAAGGAAAAGCAGCATTGCGAGTCTTGAAGGCTCTTAAAAATATGGGAAGGTGCCTGAGAAAGCCAAAGCACTGAAGGGCTTTAGGTCGCACTGTTTTCTTCTACTTCTACGGCATCCAAGGAGACCAGGGTGAGCGTCTGTCTGTAGCCAGGGGTGCACCTTGTTAATTTAGACTTGGGGCTTAAGACACTTCTGTACAAGTCTGGACAGGAAAAACAAGTCCTGCGACTCTCAGGATTCTCCAGCCAACATCACTACCAGTAGCTAAGGCTTTGGAGAAGCCTTTGAATCATTTTCAAGGGGAAGGGAAAACTAAACAGAAGTCGGAAAACCACCAACCCATTCGTAGCTCAGGGAGGGTGTATCCCTCCGGAAATCCCAGAGGGCACAATCGGGCTGGGTTTGAGCTTAACCCAGGGACTGAGGTTATGCACCTCTTTGGTGGGAGACCTCCAAACGGAGCAAACATGTTCTGCCTTCTAAGCCTAACAGAAGAACTACAGTGGAGTTGTAAAGGAAGGAAGGACTTCTAAAGGAAAGAAGGAAGGACTTCTAAAGGAAGTTCTAATAGGACTTCTTAACCTGTTCGATAGATTTCCCTTTGCGATCCTGCAGATTAAGCTCCACACTCGATGATGCCCTTTGCTTTGCTTTCCTCTTCCTGCCCTAGGTTTACTTATGGGCACGCTGGTGCTGTCCACAACGAATTTGTTTATATCTCAGGAGGCCACGATTACCAAATTGGCCCCTATCGGAAAAACCTGCTGTGCTACGACTATCGCACGGACGTGTGGGAGGAGAGGCAGCCCATGATCACCGCCCGCGGCTGGCACAGCATGTGCACCGTGGGTGACAGCATCTTCTCCATCGGGGGCAGCGACGACTACCTGGAGACGATGGCCCGCTTTGACATTCTGGCAGTGGAATCGTACAGCCCACAGTGCGATCAGTGGACCACAGTGGCCCCTTTACTGCAAGCTAGCAGCGAGTCCGGAGTGGCCACCTGGGAAGGCAAGATCTACATCCTTGGAGGGTACAGCTGGGAAGACACCGTCTTCTCCAGAACCGTCCAGGTGTACGACAAGGAGAAAAACAAGTGGCAGAAAGGGACAGATCTTCCCAAAGCCATCGCTGGGGTTTCTGCGTGTGTGTGCATGCTAAAGCCCAGGTCAGGGGATAAAAAGAGAAGGGCCAAACCCAAATGGCATAAGGACCAAGAAAGGTGACACGGGCCAGCTTTGGAGAAGGTCCGTGTGCCTCTACTCAATCTCCCAAATTTTGAGAACAGCTTTGAATTTTGTTCTGAGAAGTATTTTCTCTGACGGGCCAGGGAGGGACGTTTTGACCTTATGCCCTTGACTGACTCTCTGTTCACTGGATCACCTGGGTTGTAGGACCAAGTCTGCTTGAAGATAAAACAACATACCCCTCAAATAGTTGCTCCAAGGAGCTAAAGAATTCTGGGAAATGAAAGACAGAAGCCGAGTTTGTCCCAATAGCTGGAATCAAGGTTTCCCAGTCTCATTTTCCAGACAAAGGTGTAGGATTAGGGAATTCCTTAACTACATTTTGGTTTAGACTCAACCAAGCATATTAGAAAATGAGCTGAAGGGGGAATGAGAGTTAGCAAGGGCAGGCACACCAAGTATTAAAACATACCTTTGGCACTCCGGAAATAGTCCCCTCAACTTGAAAGGGATGAAACACAAAATGTTCTGCAGGCCGATTTCAAAATCACGGCCTTTTCAACTGGGCCAGTTCCCTGAAAAAAGTATTGTGTGATAAAATATGGGGAACTTGTTTTGTCCCAAATTATTTATCTGTGGCTATCGGATGGTGCATTTGATTTAGAAAGACGCATTACTGTTTCACTTAATGGAAACTTAAATGGCAACAGTCGGATGGAATTTAAATTACATGGTGTGGAGCATTCTTCTTCCAGTTGAGACAAAGCATTTTTAAAAAAAAAGTTTTTGGAGAGCTTTTGTATGGCTTTTAAAATATGAGATATGTTTTTTGCTAAGCCTTCGCCTGTAACTTGTCACATACTGTTGTTGACTCTTTTGTCCTGCATAAAAACAGCCCTGTCATTTCTGTCTAGGAGTTTCTAATTTAGGTTCCCTGCTCCATCCTGCCCTTGTCACAGAAAAATATTATATTCATGCCTTGATTGCTGTTGGGCAATTAGTGCCGACTGAATGACTAGATGAAAGCAACTTTGCTTTCCCTACAGAAAGGAAAATGCCCTAATTAACACACAGGTGTGGCTTTTCAGAAGACCTCTGGCTCCAGTGGAACCAGGTTTGTGTTTTCTTCTGCTACAGAGGGTAATGCAGGGCAATGCACACCAGCGCGACACAGATTCTTACTGGAGGGAGAGCAATTCCAGTCTCTGGGTTGGAGTCAGCCCTTTCCACCCCTTTTCAAGGCTAGCATCAAGCGTAACGGGCAGGCAGCTGTGGAAGTCCCACATGCTAGTGGGTTTTATTATACTGGAGGTATTGGATGCTATGCTCTATTTCATTTCTGTTGATTTTATTGTAAAACTGTCCTAAGATGCTAGTAGTTGGATGGGATATAACGCTTTAGAGAGGTAGATAGATAGCAGGGGCCTAGAGACCAAAGATTCAGGGAGCCCTCTTCTCCATTGCAACCTAGCTAGGGCCCTCGCTCCCTGGCTTTCCCTCTCGAGCATGCAAGCTGCAGGGAATCGGGAAAAGAGAAGGAGCAGCTGGTGACAGTGGTGGTGAGTGGGTGGTCACAGGGAGAAGGGGCTCGTTGATGGGGCCCTCCAAAGGACCCACAAAACCCTGGAGTGACTCTGGGCCTGAGTGGTGGCTGCTTTGGAGGTGGGGAGGGGCCCGTGGTAGCGGCCTTTCCCAAGGGCATTTCCGGACCTCAGTCAAGACGCAGGAAGACAAGCCGCCGAGCCCAGCGCCCGCGCTTTCTAGGAACTAAAATCTGCCCAAGCAGCCCTTATCTACCAAGCGGGTGCAGTGCCCAAGGAGGAAGTAAACCTTTCAAGCAGTTTCATGGGCGCAATTTGAGAACAGCACGTACTGAAAACGAGATCCAAAAGATCCTATCCCTAGGCCAGAAAAGGGCTTTTCCTGCACTTGCTTTCCTCTTCCCTCCTGGTCGCTTTTCCTTTTGTATCGCGTCTGTGTAAGAGAGTAATATAATCCTGGCACGTCCACCTTGTTTTGGGTTCTCCCGCCCCGCGCTTCAAAGCAAAAAGCCTCAAGCAAAACTGGCTCCTGAGGACAAGGCGAGAGAAGCGCACAGACGCCGCGCCGACGAGCGCGGTCAATATGCTCGGCGTGCGCGCTCAGTTTGCACAGCGCCGGCGCGACACGAACAGGGCCGCCTTTCCCTCACGCATGCGCACTCGAAAGTTCCCGCCCCTTCCCTGAGCACCCAATCAGCCGTCGACCCACACATGCGCAGAGCCCATTCCCCGCCCCATCAGCCTGTTAGGCTACGAGTGGCCCGCCCCTTCCCCATCCACGCCCTCTCTTTCAATCCGGCGAAACAAACCTTGCGGGCCCAGGGGCCGCGCGTGCGCGAAGTAAGGCAACCCAGGGCCTGCTCCCGCTTGCCTATCAGTCACGACCAACCCCTCCACCCTCACCTCCCTCCGTACACCGGCGCGCGCGCAAGCGGCGGCGCATGCGTGCGGCGCGAGGGCCGCGGCTGGCGGCCGGCGCGAGGCGGGCCGGGCCACGGCGCCGGCCGTGGGTTGCGTTGCTGCGCGCGGGCGCGGCCCCGGGGCCGACAGATAGGCAAG